TACAACTTTCATCTTTAAACTTATTCTTAAACAATCTCTATGTTCAAACTTGTTAGAGAATCCAATTTGCTTTCTATTGTCATTGTGTATATCATTTTTCCAATTTTCTTCAAATAATTTATTTAATTTCTTGCGAATATCATTCAAGCTCAAAGTTGAAATATACATATGGAGAAAGCAGCAAAAAGAAATTTACATAAATTTGTTTGAGAATAGTAGCACTATTTGTACAAAAGGCACGCTGGCTGCAATCCTATCTCACCCACTAGGAATATAAATAGAATGAAGGAAACAGCCATGAACAAAACAGTTGCATATAGCCTTATATCATTATTTCCTTTGAAAAAAAAAAAATGTTTTATATTGAGCTGGAGGGAATGAGCCAGGGTTTCCATGGAAACGGTTTAAGCCTGTCTTCAAAACCACAATGCACTTTTGAGAGTATATGGGAAGAGAATCACACATATTGTAGTCAACACAGTGTGTGTACACAACATTACTGATTCACTTAGTGTAAACCTACTTTAGGGGCTGACATTTTATGAGCTGGATGTAAAGTTGTCAGTTTGAAATACGATTGGAAAATTGAAACCAAACGTGCAATGAGGAATTATTGCAGAATATGACTCCATGCAGCATATATCACTGGAATCTATCAATGACAATCATTGCAAATTCAATACATGTGTATATTGATGTACAAATTTTAGTAAACGTGAAATCCATGCTGCAATGGTCTTATTTTATGTGTGTGTATCACATGAAAAGATGTAATTAAACTAAAACTATTAATTGATGACGCCTTCTGCACCTCATTTCAACATTTCACAAAATAAACCCACATTATTTTTTCCAGACTATTTCAAAAATGTTCAGCAGGACCTTACCTTGTACATGTAATTCAATAAGACAGTATGTTCATTTGTTCAAAAATCATAAAAAATACATAAAAATTTGTGAAATGTTTTACATCTGTATTTTGGAGATAATAATTATGGTGTTTAAAGCAATCAAATGCGAGCATAACCACAGCTGCTTGCTAGAAACGACAATTCATAATAATTCCATTGTCTATCACAACAGGAAGTCCCATTTTACTGCACATATGATGCATTATGGGAATCTGTACTACCCATACTGGTGAGTTGTAAAGTCGTGCTATGGTTTTCAAATTGCAAACATTCACTCGCACATAAAACTATTCTAGCAATACCGTTTCATTGATCCCCATTGCAAATTTGGGTGCACATTTTGCACATATTTTTATGTTTTTAAAATTAATTTCTTTATTAATTTGGGACCAAATTGACATAATTTACAAGTTATCTACAAAATTAGTAAAAAAAAATTGAAAAAAGTTGATGTTTATTTTGCGAAAGGTGAAATGGTTGACTGCAATTTCTCATGCATTCACATTACATCTATTTGCTCTGATATTACTTACAGAAACACTATACTATATGCAATGTAAAACACTTTTCTGTGACAATCAGTGGCAATATAAGATTTACAGTCATAGTAATCTAAGAGAAAAAAAGATCTTGACTTCAACCGTGAATAACTGTTTGTAAAAATGACTTCTAAATAATTAAATTTTACATGGTAGTGCACTCCTCACAAATCAAATTTTACACAATTTATATTTAAAAAAAAAATTGTTTTAAGGTCAATGGCTGACGAGCAATAATTTTTTTTGCATGCAATTTACACAAAAATACATCAAACGTAAAATATCATATTGTGCATTTTCCAATACACATTTGGTCTACTCTGGGTTGTATATGAGAGCTATTATTAGTGTGTACCATATTTGATCTTTTAGAAATGTGGCTGCTTGATGAAATGAGTATGCGCTTTAATGTATTAAAGTGGCATGGTCAGCAAAACTTTGTTTAATAAAACCCTCTTTCAATTTTGAGTAACTAACCAAAAATCAAATTTAAAAATGATATTGATTGAAACTTGATGGATTGGCTGTTTATCGACCAAGTTATTATTTTCTTCATTACAATAAATCCTGTCATACATTGCAGTTTGAGTCCTACTCAGGTAGTGTGCTTGGCATAACCTAACCTAGGAAGTACAAAATGTTTGGTGTTCGCTCAGACGATGTAAAAACATGGAAGATAGTTGTCCTATAAATTTACATGCGAGTGACCTAATGACTATTCAGGAAACAACTCAAGAGTGTTGTGTGCATCTCGGACTAATCTTAGTGGTAAATGCTTCACATCAAATATTGATTTTGTAATATAGTCCATCTTTGATCACTGAACAAAGAGTCCCAAATACGATTCATTGACATGACACCCTAGGACGCTGAAAACATGTACCATTTGTAATTTTACAGTATCACCTATCTAAGGTAAACAGTGACTGAAAAAATTTGTTTGATTTACAGAGGTATTTGGTTTTAAAAGGTGTTTGGTTTACAGGTATTTGGTTTATAGGTATTTGGTTTACAGGTATTTGGTTTATAGGTGTTTAATTGGTTTACAGGTGTTTGGTTTACAGGTATTTGGTTTATAGGTGTTTGGTTTACATGTATTTGGTTTATATGTGTTTGGTTTACAGGTATTTGGTTTATAGGTGTTTGGTTTACAGGTGTTTGGTTTACATGTATTTGGTTTATAGGTGTTTGGTTTACAGGTATTTGGTTTATAGGTGTTTGGTTTACAGGTATTTGGTTTATAGGTATTTGGTTTACAGGTATTTGGTATACAGGTGTTTGGTATACAGGTATTTGGTTTATAGGTGTTTGGTTTATAGGTGTTTGATTTATAGGTGTTTAGTTTACAGTGTGGTTTGGTTCAAAGATGTGTTTGGTTTACAGAGGTGCTTGGTTTACAGAGGTGATTGGTTTACAGAGGTGCTTGGTTTACAGAGGTGCTTGGTTTACAGTGGTTTTTGGTTTAAAGAGGTGTTTGGTTGGTTTAAAGAGGTGTTTGGTTGGTTTAAAGAGGTGTTTGGTTTACAGAGGTGTTTTGTCTACAGTGGTGTTTGACTTAAGGAGGTATTTGGTTTAATAGACAGAAATTCACTAACTTTTCATTGAATAATTTAATGCAAACAGGAATAAATCAAACTAAGGTTGTTTTTTAAAAAACCATTACCAAAATAAAGTGCCATAAATTCCAAGCAAACAATATAGTTTATTTTACCATGTTTAAATCAGTTTCAAGTATTACGAGACAACCAGATGGAATGAGCGATGACAAACGCACACACAATAAATTATCGGAAGACAACAAATTAATATATGAGGTGCATTAGATACCCCATTATATGTAAAATTCAGATTTATATCATATGTGCATGCCAAAGTGCTTCGCTAATGTTTCTATGTTTTGAAGTTCAAATCCAATAGTTAAACAGTAATTATTTTCTAAGCCAGAAACATCTCTCATGTTAGTGCCACTTCATTAGCCCTCTACGACAACCTCAATTGATACGTTACACTGATGTCGACACAACAGTTCACACAGCGGTCATTACAAATCTAAGCATGGCAATTACATTCTCAGTTTATCAAAATTTGTTATTTTTCTCCCCCCAATTTTCTAAGCAAGTGACTTTAATGAAAGCTCATTGTGGGTTAGATATGTGTTTTTAGGAAAGACAGATTCAAATCAGTTTTCAACCTCAACCCCCAACTCCAACTCCAAGATTACGAATAGTCCAATCCTAACTTTTAACAAAATTTACCTTGGTTTAAAAATATACTATAGAAAAATCCTATTGATTAATTAAATTGATATGCAATGAATCTAAAAAGCAAATACAAGGTGGAGCGCCATCTATAGTTCCAATATAGAAATGTGTTCAATGCTTGCTAAAGGTTGGCTGCCCTCTATGGACAATTAGAGATAATCTATGGTGACATATCATATTTCATAAGATTGTAGTATTTATCGTTCAGCCTAAAAATGACATTATGTCACAGCCCGCCCCACCATCTTTCAATTTATGACCGAGTTACTGTATTTGTATGATGATGGCAATCCACATGGCCACCTGGATGATGGAGGTAATCCACCATGGCTACCTGGATGATGTTAGCAATCCACCTTGGCTACCTGGATGAAGATGGCAATCCACCATGGCTACCTGGATGATGGTGGAAATCGACCTTGGCTACCTGGATGATGGTGGAAATCTACCTTGGCTACCTGGATGATGATGGCAATCCACCTTAGCTACCTGGATGATGGTGGCAATCCACCATGGCTACCTGGATGATGGTGGCAATCCACCATGGCTACCTGGATGATAGTGGCTATCCACCATGGCTACCTGGATGATAGTGGCAATCCACGTTGGCTACCTGGATGATGGTGGCAATCCACCATGGCTACCTGAATGATAGTGGCAATCCACCATGGCTACATGGATGATGGTGGCAATCCACCATGGCTACCTGGATGATGGTGGCAATCGACCTTGGCCACCTGGATGATGATGGCAATCCACCTTGACTACCTGGATGATAGTGGCAATCCACCTTGGCTACCTGGATGATGGCAGAAACCCACCATGGCTACTTGGATGATGGTGGCAATCCACCTTGGCTACCTGGATGATGGCAATTTACCTTGGCTACCTGGATGATGATGGCAATCCACCTTGGCCACCTGGATGATGATGGCAATCCACCTTGGCCACCTGGATGATGATGGCAATCCACCTTGGCCACCTGGATGATGATGGCAATCCACGATGGCTACCTCGATGATGGTGGCAATCCACCATGGCTACCTGGATGATGGTGGCAATCCACCATGGCAACCTTGATGATGGTGGCAATCCATCTTGGCTACCTGGATGATGGTGGCAATCCACCTTGGCTAAGGTCTTTAAAAACAATTAAAATACTTAACTGGGTTCATACTCAGCAATGTTGTTGACTATATGACAACCCTTGCTCTCAGTCTTGTCATCGAGCTCAAATTGGTGGGGTTTCACTTCAATAAAAGGCTCACATTTGCAAGCTATATACAAACCTTTTCGTAAACATCATCGTTATTCTGGAAATCTCCTTCTCTTCGCGGTAATATGTGAACATGAACATGCTGAAATGAAATAATATGACATAAACTAAAATTTTGGTTTAAATTTGAATCTTAAGATTCTTAATATTCAAACCAGTAATTTGAATAGTATACTAGTAGGCTCTTTTTTTTGTCAATTTGTTGCTTTTTGTCGAGTTGTCAGTAATTTGATCTCAAATACCATGCTATAACAGGTTAGTCCATAAAAAAGGGATTTTACTTCTAGCTCTAGGAAAAAATTAAAAATGGTGTCAAGAAAACAGTACAAACTCAACTTTGAAGTAATCCTGAACAACCAAATTTATATTATGTTGCAAGTGTAAGGGAAATCTTGTTACACTGTTCAGAAGAGTCTCAACAACTATCCCAGAGTACATTTTTTTAAAGAGTTACCGGCCTTTGTTTTCACAGTGATGGTTGCCAGGCAGTGAAAATACCCTGATGTCTGCCCAAGGATACCTGGTAACCACAGAAATTCTCATTTTCCAAATCAATTCAATAAAGCAAAGGTAAAAGTGTCACTCAATTACTATAATATATATACAACATTTTCCTGAGCTTCTCAAAATATAATACACAGATTCTTTAGTGGCATGCAAGCTTATGGCTGGGGTGACAAGTCAAATCTAATATCTCCAAAAAGAAGAAAATAAAAAAATTCTGTTGAAAAAAATAAGTTGAAATGTGAAATAAGTTTTTTTTACCTTTACTGTTTGTCCAGCTTCTGGCCCATCCTGGAAATACATAATGGTAAACATTGCTAGCTTATTAAGTGAGACAGAGCCCTCTAGTGTTCAGTATCTCAACATATGAATTTCACATTCCCCATCTGTATAAAGCACTGATGTTCAAGACAATTTTTGATTATAAAAAGTAAATAGGAATATGAAAAACATTATAAAAAGTAAATAGGAATATGAAAAACATTATAAAAAGTAAATAGGAATATGAAAAACATTATAAAAAGTAAATAGGAATATGAAAAACATTATAAAAAGTAAATAGGAATATGAAAAACATTATAAAAAGAAGACTATTTTGTACTGGAACACAAACACTAAAACTAATCATTTAGATGACATGTTTGAACCCACAATTTTGGTGCTGCACTTTAATTTTGACTAAGGCTACACCGATTTAATTTTATGGATGACATCCGCGCGCGCATTAGTTTTCGCCTGTTCTCACACAAAAAAAAAAAATAAATCTCCGACGACGAGTCTCCACAGATCGGTTTTCTGTCCGGAACTTGTCGACTCATATTGTCGCAAAGTGCCGACTTGTCTTAAAACTCGTTTTGGACTACCTCAAAACCAAACTCCGCACAGTTACATGTAGATGCGCGTTACGTAAAGCGCAAAGACCTATGGGAAAGAGATTGCCTCAAAACATGCAAATTTTGCCATAAATGATCCAACATGGCGACCACACCACCAAAATACGTGAGCATAAAAGTTCAGAGGTGAAACGAAGGGATTGTTGTAGACTGGTACGCAATTGACGTTGGCCAGGGAGACGTTTACACAGCTATACGAGAGGTCAGTAGCGGCAAGCGAGTTTCGCCCAGACAACTTTGAGAACATATTGTCCAGAGTGGCTGTCCCGCGTTTCTTCTGCAATGATGAGAGAAATGGGAGAGGAGTGGAGGTGTATGGTGGCCTAAAAGTCGGTCAGGCGACAAATCAGTTCGGTTGCTTTGTCCGCATTGAAGTCGACAAAACTGCAACTAAAGCAGCAGAAGCTCCTTGGCCGAAGTTCCCTTACGGGGTGACGTTGGTGGTTTTTTTTCAATATCGAGGCTCTTATAATTTGTTACATAGTTGAAGTAGTTCTAAAGCATTTGTGTCTACACTTAGTCTATCTGAAGTGTCACTTTAAAAGCTGTAGTTTTTTTTTTTTCAATACAACACAGTAAGTTTTTCTTTATTATTGAGTTGATGTGTATGCCTTTGGCAAAGCTAACATCTGCCTTATCCTCTTGCCTTTTCAAAATCAAAGGTGATGATACCTGTGACAGTAATACAGTACGAAATGTGTACATCAACATGTGCCTCCTACAAATAAAGACTTGTTTTTTTTTTGATACACTGTGGTTAAATTCGTAATAATACCGGTAGCTCCGTAAACCTGTGGTTTTTAGCAGCATTTTTTTTTTTTGGCAGATTTTTTTTTTTTCGCCCTCTAGCATTAGTTTTGGGGTCTTCAGAGGATGTCATCCATAAAATTAAATCAGTGTGGCCTAAATAAACATGGTTTTATGTTGTTCATGGGCGTAATCAAAATTTTAATAAACAATATGAAAGATTATAAATGTTTATTTTTGGAAAGTGTGAGATCATCTTTAATAAAAATAATCCTGAGACAAATTATTTGGACCTATTCTTCTATTCAACTGTACCTTTTCATTTTCATAATTCAATAAAAGTAAACAAAACTAAATTGCCAAAATATCTGATGTGTGTACTAAAATAATAATGCAGTTTTTCAACCAGCTTCGCTTACCTTCCCTTGCATTATTGTATAGAAAAGTAATTCCTCTTTTATTCACTAAAGTTAGCTGCTTTTCAGTGACATCATAGCCAGAGATCTACAAAAAATTTGCCTTCCATTTTACGCCCTAGTTATTTTTATTGGCTCAACTGTATGATACATATAAGTGACATTTGTACAATTCTTACAATGAACGTTAAATATTTGTTTCTCACTTAAGTGCTGGTCCTGGATTCCCTCAATAACATCCATTTTAAAAATCTTCTTAACAAACACGAGCTAACTTCATACATGTAGCAGGGCTGACTTCTCATTTTAGTGAAACACTGCCCTCTTGAGGCAAATACTTTTGTTTTTAAAAAAATTGTTTCAATTTATTTTTGATGTGCCTATACACAAAGTAAAGTGCATGACCTACTATTAAGACAGTAATTATTGGCTCTATTACCAGGGTATGTATAATTTCAGATTCAATAACATGAAAAAATTTTAAAAAACAAGAAAATAAGGGCACATCATCACACTGTTGTTGGGATTGAGAATCATTTTTTTTTAGCTTAGACACACCTCTTTAATTTACATATATGAGTGTATGTGCTACTGATAGAGCAAATATATATGTTTAAAAACAATGACAACCACAGCTGGAAATGAAGGTGAAACTCTGACTCTTACCTGTATGGCTATGGTGAGGGAAGACGCCTTAAACACCTCTTCAACAACTTTTGATATATGTTGTGTACAGCAGAATAAATCAGATACTTCTCCTGGTGTCAGATCTTTGAAACGTTCAACAACCCTTAGAGGAGAAACAAGAACGTCTAGAAAAACTGTAGTTAAGAAAAAATTACAGTTTATTTCTACTATTAATTAAATGTTTAATTACTAACCTAACAGTCGAAAGGGTTCTGCTGTTCTACATATGTACTGTAAAATACTTTATTTTAGCTGGAATTAATTTTCGCTGAAAAGGCTTTTTGGACGTTTTGTATGGAATTTATTTTCACTGATTTTTAATGAGTTGAATGTGAGATATAGGAAAAAAGGTATATTCGCTAGATTTTATTTTCACGGAATCATCCCTTCAGAGAAAATAAATTCTGAGAGGAAATAAAGCATTTTACAGTATAAGAATATTGTGATAATTATGTCAAGTCATGCACAAACACAAAAAACAAAATACTAATCACTCACAAGAAAGAAGTTTTTGTTCACATCCAATTGATAGAGCAGGATTCCAGCAACCACATTAGGAAGAGCCTGTATGTAAGTCTTTTTACTACCCTTTTAAGACCAATAAAAAAACAATTCAAAACCTACAAAACTGGAAAAATTAAAAAAATAGCCACCATTCAGCCATTTTAATTCTAACCATGAAACATTGAGGACAAGTAATTCATAATGAGAGATGTATTAAAGCTTTTATTTTTCGTGCCAAACAATTGGTTGATGATATTCTGACATATAAATTGGGCAGACCGAGGACAGTTGGGGTCCATCATTTCAATTTAGTATCTTGTGTGTTTTTGCTATGATATTGTGAGACAAGTGATACAGGCTTCAACCATCATTCTGTGAGACTTGTACATGTATGAGCTGCTCTGTGATCGCCTGCTTCCAGCAGTGCCCTCCAGAGTAACAACATTCCTCTGCAAGCAAGACTACTGTATTTCTTCGTTGCTGTGTTGCAGAAGCCCTTGACTATCGTCTATTTCTACATCCTGGGGTTGAGAGTTATCACCAATGTAATTATTTTGAGAGGTATTAAAGCCAGGAGCTTTAACTCAATATTTTGGTGTATGTGTATTTCATTTCCAGTACTATTGTCTTCTCTACCCCATTCCAGCAGTGGAACCCCCTGTCCAGTGTGAGTTCTGTGGTGGCCCTCTCAATTGCGACAAGCAGGCCTTACACTGTGACACATATACATGTATCAAAGCAATTGGAGTAGCATTTTCAAGAAGAAGTCAATGATAACAGTTTTGACTAAAAAGACAAATATTTGCCACAAATAGAGAATTGAAGACATCGTCACGAAATTATCAAATCTGATAGATCTACCCAAGCTACCTACATACCGAGTATCAAAACAACTGAGCAGGTAGTTTTCAAGAAGAAGATGAAAATAGAATTGTTGACAGAGAACGGACAAACGACTGACAAACACCTATATGAACAACTCTGCTCTGTCATCTTCGATAACAGTGGAGCTAATAAAGGATACGTCCAGTTAAAACTGGCTTGATATTAACAAACGCATACGTCAATGGAGTTTTGTAGAAGACAAAAGATGCTTTGATAACATATTGTCCAAACTGGTATGTTCTCAGTGCCATTTTATCATTTCAGTATACTGTACACCATAATCTGTTTAAGAAAAAAACTAATTTTGTGTTAAAAGTTGTTCAAAATCTATCTTGTATAGAGAATAATGTAACAAACTGGCAGCCATTGAACGCTTACTGC